TTTCTACCATCTTCCTGTAGCACCAGGACATCTCACTCAGTCCCATTTTGATACAGCCTTCGACTGGGAGGTTTGTGTGCCTGTTTATGAACAAGCTCCTGGTCTTCCACGGGGCATTTCTGAAGCAGGAGATGAGCTGTGGTTGTGAAGGGGAAATCCTCTTATTTAATGACAGTTTGGAAACAGGGAGGGAGGTGCTGGAAGGTAAAAGGAAAAGATTTATAGTCAGTGAAGGTAAGGTGTGGTCCTTCTGTGGGAAAGGATGAGTGGCTGTCCAAGAGGATGAGTTAGGTATTGTATTAGCTGTGATTCCTGTATTTAGGATCTGCCATTCAGGAAGACTGGGGCCAGGGGCCAGCAGAACACTCCGGGAGGCAGGCAGTCTACACCGACGTGTGGGGCAAGAGGTACTGTAGAAAAGAAGCACTTATTTGTGCTTAAGTGCTTCCCTGTACTGGTACTTAAGCACTCAGATACAACGATGTGTACAGAGGTGGATCCAGAGGGGCTGCACTGGTGCCCTCGCACCCCCCTTTTATCTCTGCTCCATCCAAAGTTTAAAGCCAACTGCCTGGAAGTGGCAGCAGGATTTCTAGTCAGGCTGTGCTGGGGGAGTCAGTTGACTTAATGGCTCATTATAATGTTCTTGATTCCTTCTAAAAACTCTTCATTGCACAAGTGTTAATGATCCCCTTTGCTTTTAAATCAGGGGTGGGCAAAATATAGCCTGGCAATTGATTCTATTTTTTTTCCTAAGGAAAATGTTTTGTGTCCCAAGCCAAATCAGCCAAATCAAGTCCAAATCCGTGAGTGAGTCAAGAACCATATATGGCCCTACTACTGGCAAGCATCCTCCACCCCAACCTGAGGCTTCAGATGTTTCCAAATCATTTGGCAGGCATCCTACATGCAGGCCCAAGCCCAGAGGCTTGGGGTGCAGATGCCCCTGGGTTTCACTTGCCCTCGGCCATATGGCCACAGGAGCAAACTAGGGGGGAGTCTCCCAGTTCCATTAAGCAGGCGTAAAGCCAAGATCTTCCCACTGGAAATGGAAGTGGGAGAGTAATTATACATTATCTCCGCCTGGTTACTACCCCATGCCAGAAAAGCGGCCATCCCCTGCCCCTAGGAAATGTGCCTTAGTGGTCACGGTATTCTGTCCAGTTCACAGGCCTCTGCTGGTGCCATGGGGATGCTGGGTGGAAGCAGCCCTGGCCTCCTGCCAACCCGGCTTCACACGGCAGGCCCTGGGTAAGCCACACTCTGGCCCTGGCACCCCCCACTCAGGCTGGGCCGGGGGCACTCGCAGGGTGCCCGCCCCAAACGTTCAGAGCCCAAGTCAGAAATGAGCTCATCAAAGAAGAGGAACAATGAAGAGGATGTCTGACTTCGATTCTCTGGTTAACACACATCAGAGGCTTCTTTCTTTCCATTGAGTGATTTCCTCTGGTTTTATTCATTCTAATTTTCCATATACAAGAGTAAGACTTTATTTTGAGCTATTATGCAATTGGCTGTATATACACTATTCAAAAAAACATCAATCAGGACAAAATATATTTTTTAATTAAAATTAAGATATAGTAGATGTTTGATTTTAGCATATGATTTGTTTTTTATCTATACTTTTTTTATAAATGATATCTTCATTTATCATCTATACATCTAACATTTATCATTTGTTAGTATGATATCTTCATTTATCTTATATTCATCTTCACCAGCTCACCAAAACTTAAGTGGCCCTCCAGGCAAAATAATTGCCCTCCCCTGTTTCAAATGGATTGTAATGATTCTACTACTCCAGCTATCCTTGCTTCTGCAAAGCTGCTGACTGTAAGCTGCTCCTAGTAATGCAGCTCTCATTTCACAGCCCCACAGACTGTTTCTTAACTCTAGCTAAAAAACATTAACTCAGATGTGGAAATATTAATTTGGGTGAACATTAGCTCAGGTGTGGAAATCATTTTCAATGAACCATTGGAGCACCACCTGGATGCTCAAGAAGGCTTGATTTGGTTTTATGAATTTGGAAAAGAGACAGTTAACAGTAGTGACTTCAGGATTAATGAAACAACATCTTTGGATTATTTTGCCTGGTTTGTTGTATTTTTATACATAATATATGATGTAGCAAATTAATGCATGTTTCAATCAAGTTCTTTTTGTACGTTTTGCTTCAGTCTTAAAGCGATACTGTAGTTTTGGTCCCCTACTTATTAGTGAAGCTTCTTGCTTCTTTTTAACTGGAAGAAAATGTGTGTTGTGTTACCAGAGATGAAGCACCACAGCATTCACACCCCATGTTTCAAAGTCCTAGATTGGCCTATGGATGTGTATGAAACTACTACCCTGATAGACCCAAGCTGCTTAGTGCAGACAGTTCAGAGAAACAGGGTAAGTTTGAGCCATGGAAAAAATGACTGGCTTAGATACAATCTGTAAGTACTTGGTAGATTGCTGCTTGACCCTTTCAGCCAGGAGAGAAGCTGGGTTGTAAAATTGGGGCTCTTCTTGTTCTGTTCTTCTGTTGATGTTTCATTGCATATTATTTTGAGTATTTTTCCCCCTCTCTCCACATGTGTAGACTCTCTGAGTTCCTGATGTCAGAGCCACTTGACTGTATCTTTGTCTTGGCTGCACTGAACGAAAATATATCAGATTGTTTAGAATAGAAACGGAGGCATCTTCTGGCAGCTACATAAGGCTTCCCTCATTAAGGAGGAAGGAAAAGACACTGCCCCTAAATAAACCCCAAGAACAGTTTTCATTAGAAGGCCCTCGGGGTTACTGCTATGTTAACATTCTTAAAGCATTAACGGTTTGTTGTTTTTTCACAAGCGGAGTGCTCATGACCTGCGGCTCAGTGCTACATTAATGTGGCCTAGATCTGATCTAGTAAAAGTTTCCACCAATCCATTGCACATGTGCACTTGTGACCCCCTCTCCTTCCCACGTTACCTTTTGTTCTGTGCTCACTATGACAGACTCTCGTGTCTGGCCCCCCTCCTCAACGATTTCCTGGGTTTGTGAGCCCCATCCAGCCCACTGCCTGGAGGTACAGATGCATGGATCCTGCCTGTGTTCACTTCACCACCTCTTTCTATTTATGTAGTCCCCATCCATGGTACCACCAAGTCCTGGGACCTCCTGGCCAACCTGCTCTTGGCCCTGGCTAAGCTTGTGATCTATCTGACCAAGAAGGAGACTGGTTTGGAGGACCCCTAGGGACAGTGAGGATGCTTTCCTGTCCCTCATCCATTCACGTCTCCATGAAGAGTTTCACTGGGCAGTGTCCACTGACTCCTTGGATTCGTTTGAGGGCCAGGGAGCACTGTTTGGTGTGCTATGCTCGATGTCCCCCCTCGGTGGACTCGTTACAAACCTCTATCTCTCACTCCCATCCCTGTTTTGTTATCATTTGTCCTAAGGAATCAACGATATGCCCTTAGTAGCCCCTATCACCAAGGGCAGCTTATAGTTTTATTTGGTAGGCGTAGGCCCATGATTCTTCAAAGGCATATCAAAAAGCCTGGTCAACCTCCTCCTGGCCCTGGCCAAGCTCACAATCTACCTGACAAGGAGGGAGGCTCTAGCTGGGAGTACCCCTGGGGACTGTGGGGCTGTTTTCCTGTCCCTGATCCATTCATGTCTCCAGGCAGAGTTTCATTGGATGGTGTCTACTGTCTCCTTGGACTCGTTTGAGGGTCAGTGGGTACTGCCTGGTGGACTCTTCTTGGTGTCCCTCCCCCTGGTGCAGTTGCTTTGAACCTGTGACCCCACTTCAGTTTCTGTTTCTCTTTGGTTGTCCCCCAAAATCAATTGATGTCTATCTAGTAGCCCCCCCTTAGTAATGGGAGGTGTAAGGAGGGGACTAACTGTTGCTCTGTGGGCATTAAGCCCATGTTAACCATGTGCATCAAATGCGCCTGCCTTTTTTCACTTTGCTGCCTCCTCCAGAACCTCCTGCTGAGGACACTACTCCCCACACCTTTTTATTTATGCACTCCCCATCGTGGCCCCACCAAGTCCCGGGACCTCCTGACCAACCTCCTCCTGGCTCTGGCTAAGCTCAGGATCTATCTGCCCAAGGAGGAGGATCTGGCCGGAAGGAACCCTGGGGATAATGGGGCTGTTTTTGTATCTCTGGTCCGTTCACGTCTCCAGGCAGAGTTTCACCAGGCAATGTCCACTGGCTCCTCAGCCAGCCTGAGCTGCGAGCACCCAGCAGCGTTGCTGGGTCTTAAAAATGCAATTATTGTATTGGAAACTCAAAATGATCATACTTGCTGAAAAACGATGGTACGCTGAACAATGATGCAAATAAGCACGCGCATCAGTCTCCTTCTTATTAACTTTATCAGAAAATGTCAGGGCTCGTAGAGAAAAATGGCAAAGCCATAAGGGAGATGCAAAGTGCCTGAGCGGGGAACTAATGGAGGAGGGACGGCAATCACTTCATGGCGCCCAAGGGTGAGGGGTCATCCCATGGCGGCTGAAGCGGTTCTTTACTTCGGGGCGAGCGGCCAGGGGGAGGTGCTGACAGCAAACCCCTCCGGCACAGTGGGCTTTGCACTGAGCCGCCTGGAAAAGGGGAATGGGCTGTCGCCGCGTGGGTCTAAGGACACAGGCAGAAAGTCGGCTTTTCCCGGCCGTTTGCGCCGGGCTGCCGAAAGGTGCCGGCGTTACCCGAAGAGCCGCGGTGCCACGTGCGGCGCTTCACCGACGGCGGCGCGTGGTACCCGGCTGGCGCGATGGGGCACATCGGCTGCTGGCCCCTGGGGCGGTCGCAGGGGCGGGGCCACGGCCTGCGGCCCCGCCCACGCGCTCATCTGCACCGCCCCCTGGGC